CACCCTCCTTCCCAGCTGCCTGGAAGACAAGGAAGCAAGCACCTACCTGTGTGTTTACCCTGCTGCTGATTTGCACAGCACACACTCCCCAGGGCACGCCGGTGCTCGTGGGCAGACGTGCGGGGTGGTTCTGTATGGGCAGTGAGAGATCCACCCTGCCTGCACCACTGCCCTCGCTGGGTGGATGCTGCTGCTTACCCATGGCCTCTTACTCGCCTTACAGATTTGAGATTTGTTGCTATGGTGAGAGAAGCCAAGCCTTAAATATTGAACTCCCTTCCTGTTAGCTCAGCTGGTATCTGCTGTGTGCAGGTATCACTTGGTGTGTATTAAAACAAATAAGATAATAAAGAATATATGCTTTGCACTGTGGGCAGGTTCTGCCTCCAAATTTTGGGTTGTTTTTGGTTTTCCCCCTTCTTCAATTCTAACTTGGTTTGTTTTTGCTGAAACTAACCTTGAACTCTGCCCAACAGCACAGAGGATTACAACTGTTTATGTCTTAATTGGGGAATAGGACCAGTAACCTGTCAAATCAAATTTTTCCTCTTGAGAAGTTACAGTCAAAGGCAGGACAGTTCCCACAAAATGTTTTGCTATATTATTTGCTGTTTGCATGAAGTCTGCACCAGCAGATTAGAGCAGGGTTTGGAGCACTATATGGCTTTGTGCTTAACATGTTACTGGAAGAAAATGAATTTACAAGGTGTTTTATGCAGTGCAAGCCAGCGGCTTCCCTGGAAGCACTCCCAGGGCCTCACTCTGACCCTCCTCGGGCTGTTGATAATGCTCCTGCTGATTGACTCATGCCAGCACAGGACACAGATCAGCCTGTTTGGTGGAAAATAACTAGGAGGGAAGCTGCTGCCAAATCAGAGCTGCGGAGATGCTGCAAATAGGACAAGTGTTCTGCCCCTGACAGTCCCAGCAGCAGTGAAAAACACAAACTGGACTTTTCTCAAGCAGAAAACGCAGAAGCCCTTGCACCCCACACAGCAGCCCTGCCTGAGGCTGGCCTGGAGCACTCCAGAAGGAGCTGCTGCTGCGCCCACATTCTTGTGGTGAAAGTCCTGCTCTGCTGCCCAGCCCCAGGAATGGCAGATTTTAAAAGTTCTGGAACAAAGCAGGACACGTTCTCAAGCGCAGAGGCATTTTTATTTGGAAAACATAAAGCAAGGTCTGCTGTGTGCGGTGGATGTTCAAACACTCGCTGGGAGCCCACAAACGGTGCTTCGGGGCTTACTTTTGTTTTTTTTTCAAGTAACTTCTGAAATTGCAATCTGATGAATCAGAGGAATGAGGGCTGATATTCCTGCTAGTTCTCAGAAACAAGGGATTTCAGGTCCAGGGCAGTAGCAGAGTCTGTGGCCCCTGAAGGCCACTTTAGATCTTTCTTAAATATGGTTTGTTTTTTATAAATCTTTTCATACCTTTTCTAGAAATACCTGAGCAAGTGAAAAGGGTTGGAGTGGGTGATTTTCAAACAAAACAGAGATACAGAGATACAAAGACACTGTAAGAAAGAGCCACTTTCTCTTTAGGTAAACGGTAGCTTGAAATTTTTGTGTTCAAGTCAGTGCTGCTCCGAGTGACACTGAGGGGGGTTGGGATACAGAGTCTTGCATTCAAGCTCTGGAAATTATTTCTGTAGGAGCTGAATGTTTGACTTTTGAAACAATAATCAGAAGTGAACTTTGACATTGCACGTGGAAAAGAAGTGGCAAGTTTTAGTTAAAAGCATAAACAGGCAAGCAATGAAGCCTTGTGCACACCTTCAGTGCTACTGGCATAAATAAAAAAAAATGGGGGTGCTTTATTCAAAGCCACTGCTGCTCTGGGTAGCCCCTCAAACTGCTCAAGTGTCATTGGAGGCAGTTTCTGTGCTGCTGCCTCCTCCTCCTCCTTCTCCTGGTCTCATGTTTCTCTGAGGTACCTGAGTCCCCTTAGCTGCTCCTGCAGGGTGAGCCACTCACCTGGAAGCTTTGGGCACAGCAGAGCAGTGTGGTTTTGGGAGTTAGGGGGGCTTTCTGCAACTGGAGCCAAAGAGAGTGACCAAAACCCGCCCAGGGCTGGCAGAGCACCCAGCCCTCCTCTCTGCCTTTGAGCTGCCGTGTGTTTGCACACCCACGAAGCAAGCTGAGCTCTGAGTGACCAGCCCTGTGTGCCACAAGCCTCCGCTGCAATGCAAATGGATTAAAGGGCATTTTAAAGACTCACATGCCATCTCTTTAATTTCAAAATATACAGTTGCTGTGATCTGCTTTTGGGAAGGATTTATTTCTTCCAAGACAGGTTTGTACTTGAAAATCAGGAGAAGCTCAGCATCCAGCTGGAAGAGATGCAGAAGTGGTCTGGAAGGACCTGCTTCACATACTCCCAATTTTAGTTTAATGGCTTCAGTCCAGATCTTTGGATGAAGTGAAATACGGCAGCAAATGATAGCTAATGGGGTTCTAAAACAACTTCTGGAGTCTCAATATACATCACCTCCTCGGTCATCTAACCATAGGTGTGGGCTGTTAATCCAAGACAAAACTGAAAACAATGTCTTAGTGTCAGACTAAACTGATTTCTAACAACGTGGGAAATATCTCTCTATACAGATTCTAAGTTTTTTAGTAAGAGAAACAAGGCAGATTAGAACTTTTCTTTTTACAAAAATAACAGGCCACTGATTTCTTGTTTGTATTTTAAAAACCTGTGAATTGCTTGGAAGGGCTTCCTTCCATCTGTTTTATGCAAGACTTAATCTACACCTTACCCTTCAGCTGAACTACTCATTTTCTGGTTATATCAGAGCATTTAAAGGCTCCTCACTACAAGTATCTTCATTCGCTCTATCTTCAGAGCACTCAGCAGTTCAATTCTATCTGTTTGGGATAGTTAACTATGGTAAATACTTAGGATTATTTGTGGAGCTATGAGGCTTAAGCAATGCAGACAAAAAATAATGAGCCATTGAAATGAAAAACCTGGCAATGTAAGAACAGTTCTAAGTGACCGTCTTCCCTCACTTCTTAGAGCAGCACATGGAAAAAGCCTAGAAATTGATTTAGTGTGAAGCCTGTAATGCAGTGGACAAGCAAGCTCTGCACACAGCAGGTTTGTCAGTCACCCAGAGCATGGAAAACAGGAGCTGCTGTGACAACACGGTGAGCACATCCCAGGAGAGGCAGAAATGTGACCCACACAAAGGCCCGTGCCTGGACTGCTGCTGGCTGCTCTCCAGCACACCCCAGCCGAGCGTGGGCTGGCTCCAGCAGGCTGCGTTTGCACAGCTCCACACATGGACAGGTTTGCAGACCTGGAAAAAACAACCCAGCAGATGTTCAGTGCTTCCACACTGTCTGCTGGCACCACATGCAGTGCCTTTCTAGTCTCCATTCCTCAGAGTCTAGAGCAAGACAATCTGAATTACATGAAATACAGTGTCTTGGGTGGTTTTAGATACAGTGTGAGGGGCAAGGACAGAAGAGCTGCAGTAAGTAGGATGAATAAAGCAAATCCTCTCACACATTCAAAGCTATTATTTGAAAGTGGCAAACTGCATTCATGCCTAAGTTTGCATTATTTCAATAACAAGAAAAGGAGCTGTTTCAAGAAATAAGGGAAGTCTGTCACTTCCCAGCCTTATTTTTCTTTAAGAAAAGCCAAAAACTCACACCTGGAGACAGGGTTTCTGCAGGGCTTCAGTGGCTTCTGACAGTGCCAGAGCCTCTGCAGCTCCTAAGGAAATGTCTCTTTCCTGATGCCCACCTCAGTGCTTAGTTTGGTTAATGGATTGAGATAATACTGTCCAGGAGAACCACAGACCAGCCCCCAGTTAGGCACCAGTAGCTAAATATTTGAAGCATATTAAATTACCTGAAGTTACAAGCACACAGTTCTGATCCCTTCCAGGCATAAGGAGGACTTGAAATTCACGGTAATTTTCTTTGTGTGAGTAGCAAGGTGAACTTTGCTTTCCATTTCAGCATTTAATACAGGGCAAATATCAAATTTCCTGTAGCTTGGGAGGAGCGTGTTTGAGTGCTCATTTAAGTTAAATCACATTTCACATACAAAAAATACTAAGATAATGTTGTTTCCAATATTAACATACAACATTTACCAAGATATCTCTACAAGAATTAGATAAAACTATTAATTCTGGGCCAAAATCCAATTATGACTAATTTTTTTCAGGAGCCCCCAGATTTTCAAAGAGCTTGGAAATAACACAGTGTATGTTTCCGAAAGCTGTGACTAGGGAATCCAAAGGCCTAATTATGTTTCCAGTGGTATCTTCTCAGATCCTCCTCAATGTAATAAGAAGTGAACATAAGAAATGTAGTACCTCTGCAATGATTTACACCAACCAGCTTAAAAATTAAGGGTGCAGCATTGGAAGTCCCCAGTACACGCAGAGTGCCATGCATTGCAGTCCCAAAAATTCAGATCTGAATTGAAGCCTAAAATCAGATAAATGTGCATGTGATTTCCCCACCCCAATATCAACATCCCTCTTTGTCTCAGCTCGCCAGGGTTTCATGCCTTCTCCCAACTGCTTTGAGATAGGTACAGTTAAGTCTGTAGCCTGGGTTACAGAAATCAGTGGTTTTGCATATCATTTGTGGGCTTAACTGCTTTGCATATGTTTATCCAGGGGAAAATCAAAGTGGAGGTATTGGTTTCAGGCCACTCCTCTGTGCACGGTGAGGGGTTGGAGCACACCCTCCCTCAACTACAGCCACACAATCACATCCTTCTCGCCCCCTTTGCCTCCACTCTTTGGCCATTCCCCATCATTCTTCCATTTCTCATCCTCTTCCCCCATCATCCCCTCTTCCTATGTCTTTTCCCATAGATTTTCCTTTTTCCTTGTGGTTTCTCTGAGGCATTACCTGCCAAGCTCCCAGCCCAAAGGACAGCCCTTGGCAGCATCACAAGGCAGCACTGGTGTTGCAGGAAGATCCTGCCACCCCAAAATGTGCTGCAGCAGAAGACAAGGAGACACTTGCTGGTGCTTTCTGGTTTTATTAAGAGTCCCACATTAAGGTTCTCAACCCCATGGCAAGGGTGCTGAGGTAGTGTCACCCTGTCTGCCCCAGGGTCCTCAGTGGGGGAGGATTGTGCGGGGGTCACTTGGCAAAGCCCTGGGTGTCACAGCGGGGTCCCTGCCACTTGTCATAGCACTGGCAGCTGAACTCCTTGGCCAGTTTGGAGATGTCCTCCCCAGGCTCCAGGCTCTGAGCCACCAGCCAGGGCTTGCCAGCACGCAGGTCGATGGTGAAGCGGGAGGGGTCCAGGTGCAGGTAGCCCTGCTGCTTGTCCTGGCGCACGCAGCGGCCCCGGCCAGAGCACAGGGTCTGGCTGCACAGGTCAGCGCCGGCCGTCACATTGACGATGTAGTGGCCCAGGGGCCCCTCCACGTAGTCCTTCAGCCTCAGGCACATCTCCTGCAATGGCATTCGGTGTCACAGCCCTGCACAGCTGAGGAACTGGGGGTCCCTGCTGACAGGGACCTGATGCCACCATCTGCACTCACCTTGGAGGTGCTGTAGTTCAGGCTGCCCCAGAGGATGATGCCAGCAGCACCCTGAGCTGCGCTCTCCCCGATGGTGTTCATCAGGTCCTCCTGCACCCATGGGGAGAGAAGAAGTCAGCACAGAGCCCCCACATAGCCCCAGCAGAGATAAAGACTCCCTGGTGCCAGCCCATCGGCCCAAGAGGTGCCCACTATCCCCACATCTCCATCACCTGGGAAAGGAAGTCCAGAGTGCGCTCGAAGGCGATCTGGGAGTAAGGCAGGACGGGGATGCCACTGTCAAGGATTCCCTGCTGGACAGCAAAAGCCTCGGCCACGCGGTGCCGGACGTAGGCAAGAACCTTGTTGGTGCCATTGAGGCGGAGGGGCAGGTAGATGCTGGGGTAGAGTGCCTGGCTGCCCTTCCAGAGCCAGGAGAGATTCTGGTTCCTCTGCTGCTCCACATCTGGGCACGTCCCGTTGTAGGGCAGGCTATCAAAGTCATTGTTGTAGCAGTCAGGGAAACCATAGAAGCCCCAGTAGGCACTGGGACGGAGGCTCTTGCCCAGCCACAGGGTCTCGTTCATGAAATCACAGGCGCTCTTCTCAAACTGCTGCTTGGCCATCTCCTCCACCTCCTTGGGAGGCCACTGCGGGTGCTGCTGCTGCACCAGCTCCTCCGACTTCTGCTGGTAGATCTCCATGGAGTCCCAGTTGCGGATCCACAGTGGGCGCCACTTCTCCCAGTCGATGACAGCCAGCCCACTGTAGTCAGGGCTGGGCAGGGTCACCTTGATGTCCTGGGTGGCCTGGTGGATGTGAGCCTCCAGGCTGGCATTTTGGGGGAGCCCCCCATTCACTGGCACCCCCTCAGGTGTGTAGTAGGGGAAGAGACCTATCTTGTCGCTGTAGAAGAGGGTGATGTCCTGCCCAGTGAAGGACTGCTGGTCATTGGCCAACACATCAAAGACCTCCAGGCTGAGGGAGACATTGTACTTCTCGGCGCAGCGCTCAGTGGGGATGTTCCAGATGGTGACAAAGGGGCGGTTGACGAGGACAGGACCAGGCCCTCCAGCGTGGGTCAGGGCAGGCAGGAGCAGCAGGAGGACCCAGCAGGACCACGCTGATGCCATGATGCCGGTGTGCTCAGGGTGAGTTCTGGAGCTGCCTGGGTAGAACCGAGACCTTGAAGCTTTTATCCCCAAGTCAGGACCGGCATTAATCCACACCTCCGTTCCTAAGCGGTGCCGGTCAGCCAGCGTCACCTCCTCCACCTCCTCAAAGTCCCCGAATTTATCAGCAGCTGGAGCCCAGCAGAGCAGCCCCGGAGTGGGACAGCAGCGTCAGCCGCGCCTTATGAGCGGCGGCGGCGGGCTGGGCTGGAAGGAATGTGCCGAGTCAACATCCTATGACTGGCCGGCGATGGAAAGACAAAACAGACACGGACGGGGCGGGGGACGAAGGTCACGGTGATGGACGGGGCTGCGCCGGGCGGGCGCCGCTCGCCAAGTGGAGAGGACGGCCGTTCCCTGGCGGGAGGGGGGCACTGCCGGGGGAGCCCACGGCACCGGGCAGGACCCGGCGCGACACGGCCCGCGGTGGCAGAGGACACTCCCGCGTGGGCACCGCAGCCGCAGGAGGGCACGGCCCGGGGCCACTCACGTGTGGGGCCAGGAGGCACAGAAAGGCACGGCCTGGGGACACCCCCAGCACAGGACAGCGGCCACAGAGAGCACGGCACGGGGACTCTCACTGCAGCCAAGGCGGTGGGCGGGGAGGTGGCTGTGCCACGCGAGGCCGCTCCACGCCCACGGGCGCGCTTCAGGACAGGGCAGTGGCCGGAGAGGCTGCACGGGCAGAGGCGGAGCGGGGCAGTGTCGGGAACAGGGAGCCACGCCAGGGCACCGCTGGGGGACACTCGTGGCACGGGACAGCGCAGCTCAGGGGCGGGCGCGGCCCAGGGCCGTCCCCGGCCCCGCGGGGCTGAACCTACCCTCGGCCGTGGCGCACAGCACGGTGTCCCCACGCGATCCCGGTGCTGGGAGCTCCGGCCCCGCATCCCGGACACTGCCCGGGGCCGGGGGCCGGGCCACGCGGGGAATCCCGCTGGAGGCGGGGCCGGGGCGGGGCCGCACGCCGCCTCCACGTGGGTGGCCCGGCCGTGGCTGCCCACGCGGCTCCGGCCCCACGGGCCCCTCCAGCCCCTTCCCCGAGCGGCTGCGGCTCCGCGGGGCAGCTCCCAGCACAGCAGGGCTTTCCCCGAGCTGCATGCCACCACACACCGCTCCCGGCCGCCCCGACCCGGCGGCTGTGTCCGCGAGTTGAGTGACCCGTGTGCCCGCCTTGCCCAAATCAGCCCAAACCTCTCGGTTTGACTCAGCTTTATTCGAGGTAAAGCACTTCAGTGTGGGGCAGCACACGGGGGATCAGCACCACGCAGCACCCGCTCCCCGCCCCCGTGTCCCTCTTGCCCCCATCCCTCTCCTTACAACAGGAGAGGGGTTCCCCTCCTACCCCATCCCCATGAAGGGCACCTGCACTGCAGCAGGCTGAGTAGAATTGGGGCAACCACAGAGCTCTTCCCCCACACCACCACAGTGAGGGACAGCCCTCCATAATTAGCTGCCTCCCAGGCAGGGTAGGAATATCTTAAATAGGCTCCTCCTACACCACCAGAGAAAGGGACAGCTCAGTCCAGGGGCGGGTAGCACCAGCTTGCAAGCAGCAACAGCACCCCAAGTCCCAGCGGTGCCAAAGGGCCAGGGGCATCACTGCGGGGGCCAGCGCGTGTCTGGCAGCCACTGCCCTGCCAGCCCTGGTAGCAGTGGCAGTGAAAGTGGGTCCGTAGGAAGAGTACGTCAGCAGAGGAGAGCTGGCCCTCGGCCCAGAAGAGGGGGCGCTCGGGGTGGTCAGCATCCCGGCGCCGCAGCTGGAAGCTGGTAGAGTTGAGGTGGAGGAAGACATCGGCGTGGCTGTCCTGGCGCAGGCAGCGACCCCGGCCCTGGCACAGCGTCGTGCTGCAGAGCTCTGCTGCTGTCGTGACATTCACAACATAGCGTCCCAGGTCCCCCTCCAGGTAGTTTTTCATGAACTGGCACAACTCCTAGGGAAAGGGAAGCACCAAGGTGTGACCCAGGGAGAAGTAACTTGGATGGAGAGGACAGCTCAGCCACTGGTCCGCCCCTGGGGCAGGTGATCCCTCCACCCATCTACCTCCCACACTGACCCCAAACTTACCCGGTTTCTGGTGTCAACTGCATCACCCCACAAAATGGCCCCAGCTGCACCCAGTGCTGCACTCTCTCCGATGGTGGAGATCAGGTCCGCCTGTGGGAACACGGTCCGCTTAGCACCCACAGAGCCCATGCAGCACCCACAGCCCCAGCACAGTGTGCTCCAAAGTGTCTACTGCAGGACCAGGGACCCAATCCCCGCTCCAGGGAAAAGGGACTGTCCCAACAACTGGGGGACAAGGCTTCCCAATACTGCCCTCCTCCTCAGGGGCTAAGCCAGCACAGCACAGAGCTGTGGGCTCACACACCCCAGGGTTCCAGCTGCCAGGACCTGAGTCCTTCAGTACACCCCAGGCACTTCCCTGGAGATAATCACCATTGGTGCCAGTCCTGCTGCCAGACATCCATCCATAAGGGAAACAATTTATGGCAACCCATCATCCGGCCCAGACAGGGGCTGAGCTGTAGGTCCTAGGAAAGGAAGCACCCCTCCTGCTCCCTGGGGTCAGCTGCCAGCCCCGTGCCAAATGTGCTGCTTCCCACCACATGGAAACAGTCAAACCATGGGGTGCCAGTAACACCATGAGTGCCAACACCAGCCTCCAGAGCCACCCTACTCCATGGGAGCAAGGTGCGATGCACAGACAGAGGAACCACCTCAGCTGACCCCAAAGCCCAGATGCCCGGGGTTTGGAGTGAGGACGTCCCAGTGGTACAGCCCTACCTGGCTGAGCACATTCAGCTTGCGGATGTAGGTGGGCCGGGTGTAGACAAAGACAGGTAGGGAGTAGTCATCGTGGTGCTTCTGCGAGATGCGCATGGCCTCCATCACCCGCGCCCGCACAAACTTGCGGCTGTTCGGAGTGGAGTCCAGGAGCGGGTCGAGGTAGATGGAGGGGTAGAGCGCCATGCTCTCCTTCCACAGCCACTTCAGCTGGTCATTGCGAGATTTCTCCACATCTGGGCACTGCCCAGTGTAGCTCTCCTTGTTCTTGCTGTAGTCGTGGTTGTAGCAGTCAGGGAAGAGGTAGAACCCCCAGAGCTGTTTGGGTCGGAAGCTCTTGGCCTTGCGTAGGGTTCTCACCATGAACTCCTGGGCAGCCGACTCAAACTCAAACGCTGCCTGCTTGTTCACCTTCTCAGGGGGCCAGGTGGGCTGACGCTGTAACACCAGTTCCTGGGACGCCTCCCGGTAGATATCCTTGGGCTTCCAGTTGCGAGCCCAGACGGGACGCCACTCCTCCCAGTCGATGATGGCCAGCCCTTCCTTGGTGGATGAGCGGATGTACTTATTGATGCCCTCCTGGAGGCGGGCGAGGTGCTCGGACAGGCTGCTGTTCTGGGGGACACCACCATTGACGGCCACACCTTGGCGGGTGTAGTAGGGGTAGAGTCCCAGGCGTTCCTTGTAGAAAATAGTGAGGTTCTGCCCCACGAAGCCCTCGTTGGGGGAGGCGTACAGGTCGAAGATGCTGAAGTCGAACGACACCTGGAAGCGGGGTTTGCAGTCCTGGGTGGGCACATTCCAAGCCACCAAGAAGGGCCGGCGGGTGAGATGGGGGGCGGCCGACGGCTTCTCGGGGGGCTGCCGGGCCAAGGCCAGCAGAGCCAGCCAGGGAACAGCCACCGCCGCCGCGCAGCCCCCGCGCATCCTGCCCGACAGGACCTGGAGGCGGCGGGAGAACAGAGTCAGAAAGGGGGGCCGGCAGGAGGGGGTGCAGGCAGCGGCCGATCTGCCCGCACCCCCCACGGCAGACCTGATCCAAGTCTCCTCCCGGGGCAGAGAGCTCCGAGGTGTGCGGGCAGAGCCCCGTTTGAGGGCTGCTTCTCGGGAATCCCGGTCCCGAGCGGCTTCGCCCGCCCGTGCTCCCCCGGGTGCCGGCGCGGCGCTGCCTTTGTTCGAGCCGGGCAGACAAAGCGCCGGGGCGCGGCCCCCGGCGGCCCCGCTCCGCTCCCGCTCCCCGCGCGGCTCTCACCGCGCCTCAGGCCATCCCCCGCCGCGGGCTCCTCCGGCACCGCCGCCGCCCCCCCGCCGCCGCTTTTAAACCTTCCGGCACGCACCACCCGCGGGGGCGCCGGCCCCGCCCCCGCGCCCCGCCCGCGCCGCGCCGGGCCGGCGGCACCGACTATCGCGGGCCCCGGGCTCCCGACGGCGGCGGAGCCCCGCCGCACACACACACCTCCGTGGGACGCGGTACCGGGCACCGGGCGCCGGGGACTCATGCCCTGTCCCGCCGCGATTGGTACGGCCCGGGAGGACCCGCCCCCCCCACGCGGCGGAAGGGGGCGGGGCGGGGCCGCGGTGGGCGCCGGCAGGGGGCGCCACGGCCGGCGGGGGAGCGGGGCTGAGGCGGCCGAGGCGCCCCGGCCGCGGTGGCCGCGGGACGGGACCGTCCCCAGCGGGCTGCTGCGGCTGGCGCCGGGGCTGGCGCTGCCCTGGGGAGCGGTCACTCCAAAACCAGAGCGACCCCCGCGCGGTGCTGTCCCCAGGATCATCATCACTCCCAAGTGGGGACTCTGGAATGGTGGTGACCCCAGGGTGGTGTGTCAGGATCATGTTGTCCCTAAAAAGCTGGTGATCCTACAGTGGTGGTGACTCCAGAGTGCTGGCAAGCCAGAATGCTGGTGTCGTCAAGGTGGTGGTGACAGCAGAAGAGCAGTGTCCCTGCAGCAGCAGAGTCCCCAGGCCGGTGCTGACCCCAGGGCGGTGCTGTGCCGGACAGGACATCCTGTGCAGGGCTAGGGCAATCGGTGCTGCTGACTCAGCCATGGCCCCGTGGGTTTCCTGCCTGGAGAGGACAAGGGGGGCCATGGGTGGAACAGGGCTGGGGCGCCTTCCTTCCCAGAGCACTGCTGAGGCTCCAGCTGGTCCCCTCAGGACAGGCAGGGCTCGGGGACCAGCCGTGTGGCATGTGGCAGTCCTCATGTGCTGCCTGTCCCTCACCGGCTCTGGCCAGGGCTGGCCCCATTGGGCTGAGGGCCACGGGGGTGCCCCGCGCAGGAAGCGCCAGACTGCGAGGGTGTGCCGGGGCTGACAGGGGAAGGAAGAGGGATTGAATCTACGGAAGTGCTCCCCAGCCACCCGCCAGCTCCCTAAGGATCAGGCGGGAGCACCAAGCCCAGCATTGTTCGGTGTCAGCTCCTGGTGCCTCACCAAGCCCTGGCCGCAGGCACCCGCAGCTGGCTCCAGTTAGTGGCACCACTTAGGTGTCAGCTTTTGTGGTGAAGCTTCCATGGAGAGGGGACAGCCCTGCTAGGGATGGACACTGCATCCAGGCCGGCCACTCCAAATCCGTGCTGCACCCCACAGCTCAGCCTGACCTGTGGGCAATGCCAGGCACTGGCTGGGAGAGGGGCTGGGAAGGTCAGCCGCTGGCCGGGCGTTGGCTGCCAAAACCCTTGGGAGAGATTGCAGGGAGCCAAGAAGTCCCAGTGCTGCAGGCGCTGCCCTTCCCCTCTGGGCAGTAAACAGGCTCCCTTCGCCAACAGCTAAAATTTTCCATCCTCCTCATGCAAAGTTATCCAGCCCCACCGGCAGTGGGGTGGCTGGAGGGGTCACAGATTTCCACTGCTGGGAGGGCTGGAAGTCCTCAGTGTGACGCAAATTCTCACTGTTGTCCCCTCAGTGGGAGCATCACCTTTCCCTCCTTCCTTCCCACAGGTAAGACTTGCTTTTGGGAAGGGGCAGCTGGGCAGGTCCAGACTCCCCTTGCCCTACCGAGCAAGAGATCATTCCAAGTCATTTCCAGAGTGTAGAGGGGTGTGGGATGGCAGCAGCAGACAGCAACCAGGGCGAGCTGAGCAGGCAAGCTGCTCCAGGCAGGCAGCAGGAGGATGGGAATCCCTCACGGATGGTAGATAAAGATAACGGGACATGAGTCACAGCCACTCGTGCCAGTCAGGTCTGGGCTAGGTGTGAGAGGAGGTCAGCTTGGGAATGGAGCAGACATGAAGCCAGAAGGGGACGTCAGCACCTGCCTTTGCCCTGGGCTGGGGGCTCTGGGCATGGCCCTGCCCCACTGGCAGCAGGAGGGGACGGTGGTGGCCCTGGCAGACACAGAGACGGCCACGGAACCACAGAGCCACAGCCACCGCCTTGCGTAATCTTGCCGACTGTACCACCCTGCGCAGCCACCCGGTCCCTTTCTAAGCCACCAGGATCCCTCCATCCCTCCTGGGGCTCGGTCCCTGCGCATGAACGGGCCACAGCCTCACCCCGCCGAGGCTGGAGGGCTGGCACCACACACTGCACCTCTCACTCTCATGACAGCTCTCATCAGCGGCTCATTTCCGAGCCGGCCTGCGAGGAGGAAATGATGAGAAGTGACGGTGGCTGCAGGAAAACACTTGCAGGGCTGTTGGGGATAGGACGTGGGGAACAAAGTGAGATCACACTTGCCCCACGGACAGCCGGCAATGCTCGGGGGACATCCCGGCAGAGTCACGCCGGCTCCAGAACGTCAGGCCCCCGTGATGAATGAGGCACTGATTTGGCAGGCGAGGAAGGAGCGGACAGGCGGATCCTCCCCCCCGCGGGGCTCGGGCGGAGCCATGGAAGAGTCAGCTTCAGGCTAGGCTGCTGCGAACCCTGGGTCCTCACACCTCCGTCCCCACAAGGGAGGAGAGGCCTCAGCTCCAGCCCTCGGGAATGAACAAGGAAATTACAAATACTTCACATTAATTACACATTTAAAAACTGTTACGGCAGCTACAAGTAGAGAGTCACAGCCTGGCACAGCCACCAACTCCTGCCAGTCCCATGTGCCAACTGGAGAACCTGGAAATTGCTGTGACTCGGGGGTCCTTCACCATCAGCTCGGCCACACATGCACAAACACACCCTTCCCGAAAAAACGGGGGGCTCAAAGTCCACCCTCCCTCAGGTACATCTTCCTTCCCCAGTAAGACAGCTCTGGGACCTGTGGGCTCTACAAATAATTTTATTGAAATTTAACAAAAGTGGACAGATGCACTGGGAGGAAGGACCAGAAGTAGTGTACATTTCCCAAACCCATGGGTCCTACCCACACGCTAGAGGAGCAAGGAGCTTAGTGTCGGTGAGTACGATTCGGCTACACATCCACACAGGAAAGCACAATGTTGCACAGAAATTGTACAAAAAAAAAATAGAATTAAAAGGAAAACTTTTGTGGTTTTCTTTTTTTTTTTTTTTTTTTGCTTGCTCCAACACCACAGTGGACACAGATACTATTTACAGTGACCTTCACATTTTTAAGATCCCTCCAGGTGCTCCCAAGGCCCTGCTGCTGCAGGATTGCTGGGGTCCTGGGGGCTGGCTGCTGTGGGGACCAGCCTGGGAAGAAGCGGGGAAGGATGCAACTTGTTGGCAACCTGCAGAGGTTCGCTGCCACTCTGAGGGGGTAGAAGAGTGGGAGAAGGCATGGGTTTTGGAGACGCATGTTTAATATGCCGGGGGAAGGATGGGCAGCCTGTCAGAAAGGATAAAAGCATCCTTGCTAAGCTGGTCACAGTCTCTGCCCCCTCCCCTGGGTTTGGGCCATGCCTTGCCAGCAGATTTTTGGCTGGTAGCCAGGTGAGGGGCTCCCCACTGGGGCAGGCAAACAGCGCCGACCCTCTCCCCATTCCTCCTCCTCCTCCTCCTTCCCCCATGCCCAAGGCAGGGTCGGTGCAGCTTCCCGTGCCCTCAAACAGCAATGGGGCAAGGCAGCACAGACAGCGTGGCCATGGTTTTCTCTCCTCTTCCTGGGGACAGCAGCTCCTGCTCTCCTGTGGAGCCCAAGGGATGTCCTTCCCAGGGAGCTCCAGCCAGGGAGAAACTCAAGAGCAGGTGGTGCAAATAAGAAACACTTCAGTGAGGGATTGTTTTAAGACAAGACTCTTTCAAGCAAGCAGAACAAAAGATGTCGAAAGAAGCGCCCAGCATCACAGTGTAGATGGGCCCTGCCCTTCCACCTTCCTGCCTGGTGGCAGCCAGCACATTTATTTCACCCTGTGTGCTCGCTCCTGTCGATGGGAACCGCGGGTGGAGGGACGTGAAGGGAAGAGGTGGTGACAGGAAGACAGCAACAGCCACATCGCTGTTATCTCCCCGAAGCTGGGAATGTGGCCCCGCGCCCGGGCGGGGATGGATACATCCAACATAGACACCGACAGGGCTGGCAGCCAAATGCCAGCAGCTTAAATTAAAAATCGAGGTAGCAAACATCTGAAGTGCTTAGAAAGTAAATAAGTTCTGGAACGAAAGAGGAGGAAAGCCGAGCTAGCTGCTGTGGGGAGTAGGCTCTGACCCACTTTAAAGCTGTGCCTGCTGCCGGTCCTCCTCTGCCTGCCCGGTCCGGGCACAGCTGAGCAGGGAGGCAGGGACTCCTCGTGCTGCCAAGGGGCATTTGGGCTCAGGCCTTTCCCCCAGCAGCTGGACACACACAGGGCTGAGAGGTTCTTCGGTGCTGCCAAGACCTCAACCTTCTTAGGTGGGAAGAAAGAGGAGAAAAGAGCAGGACCTTCCAAGGAGGGGCAGAAAGCCTTCCTTTAAAGTGCATTGCATTTCTCCTCCTGCCACCAGCTGGGATGCGGGAGAAACCACAGTTCACATCGCCAGGGAGATTTCCAAGCTGTGGCAGGTACACCAATTGATTGTTTCGGGGGCACAGGGAAGGAAGACAGGATTCCTTTCCTGCTTGGCTCAGTCGAGGCCCAGCCTACAGGGAGGTATGTTCAAACAGCAGCAGGGCTGAGGAAGCTGCCCGGCAGCCCAGCCCCACAGCAGGTGAGGGACGGCGCTCAGCAGGAGCCAGTGTGACAATGGGGAAGGCAAGTCCACTGCAGAGCTGGGACCTTGCTGCCACCAGCAGGGGCCAGGGACTGCAGAGATCTCCAGCAGGCAGCAGTAAGGCCTACCTCACCAGCACTGGCCTAAGTGGGGAAACACAGGGGGAAAAGACACAGAGCTAAAAGAGAGTGGCATCTGATCTCCATCCCCTTCCCAAGAGGAGAGCAGCAGCCAGCCCAATGTGCTTTGAGACCCCTCAGTCTACTCTGCTTATCCTCCATCAACAAACCCACATGGGGGAGTGTCACATCACACTGGTGTCAAAGGGAGGTGCTGCAGCATTGGCCACCTAACCTGCGGGCCCCAGGGACCTCGGGGTGCAGGGCAGGGTGTTACCGTGCCCTGGCTCTCCCTGGGCCGCATACCTGAGAAGCAGGGGATTCTCTCTGATGAGAAGTGCAGGCTTGCTCTCCCTTTCACAGCTCAATCACAGCAGCTTGTTTGCAGTTCCAGTTACCCATCAAACGTCGGCTAGAGGCTACAAAAGGTATTTTAGTCTTCTGACTCAAGCGAGGATGTTTTTAAGCAGTCGCTGCACAGTCACGCATCTCCTGCGAAGGCCTGCTCCGTCCTGCCTCACCTCCAGGCGAGGGGAGATCCACCATCCTGCCACACGGCTGGAGTCCTCCTCAGTGGGAACACGATGCAGCCTGGCCCAGTGAGGCTGGAGTGGTGGGGCAGGGCCTCCCACCCACGGGCAGCAGCGATGTCTGGGACTCACACCTCGCAGATAATCACTGGGAAATCCACGTGAATGCGAGGATGCTCTAGCTTCACTATGCCCTGAAAGAAGAGTCAGAGTGGTGAGGAGAAGGGACAGCCAATCAACATCCTTGAGCCCTGCCAGTCACCCAGTGTCAGAGAACACTGTGCCCTGGAGGAACTGGAGGGACCAGGCTCCATAAATCGCCCAGGTACACCCGAGCAGCAGCACACAAAGCACCAGCTCTTTGCCCTTCGCACTCGTCCCTGGAGAGCTGAGGGCAGCACGGCTGGCTGCCACACATGGCAGGGCGAGAAAGGAGGGAGCTGCTCTGCCAGGCACTGCCCGTGCAGCAGCTGGTGCGTGACTGGCAGATATTGGCTGCCTGGGCTTTTCATGCGGCACCTTTCATTCATGAGATTTAGAGGAATGAAAAGAGCTCTCTGAGAGCACGCAGCCGGGGCAGCTGGCGCACAGAAAAGCGGCTTTCTGTGCAGGGGGAAGGCTGCTGAATGCCGCTCCCTCCACACCAGCCACGGGAACCGTTCCCATGGCCCATCCCAGCCTTCTCCTGTGACAGCACCAGGTTGGGGGGGCTGGGGAAGAGGGGGAGCGGGGGTTCAGGGCTGGGCCCGCACCCGCAGAACCAGAGTAAAGCCTGTGCTGGCAAAGGACTGTTCAGTGCTGGTACCTGCCCGCTCCAGCTCAGCTGAGCTTTCCAACTGCGTGAGTTTCAACACACATGAACGAGGACTCAGTTCCATATGCCAAGCCTGCTTCTGCTAGAATGCCAGCCCAGGAAGCAGCACCAAATCCTTCCATCCACAACTGCCTGCTCAGCACTCAGAGGAGTTCCATCCAGCTGAGAGGCTGCCCACTCCTCAGAGTACACTGACAGCTCACCCCAGCTGCTCATTACAGCCATGCCTTTCTGCTCAATTAGGGAAGACTTCTATAGAGGCTCTTTCCAGCCCTATTTTGACCTGCTCTTTCCATTTATGACCCCAAAGTATTCCTACATGCAGGCTCTCCTGCCCCTGCACCATGATCCTCACTCGACATCCTAACCCCAGCTTCACACCACTTGCTTATTTAAAGAGGAGACTTTTCTGCTGAAGGGCAAAGCACAGAGCTGTCAACACTGCTGAGCAGCTGGAGGGGACATGCAAGCTCATGTCAGCAGCTGATGGGCTCTGGCTGCTGCTCGCTAACACAGAGCCTGGCCTTCCACAGTGACATGACATTGGCTGAGGCAGCACAACATCCTACACCTCATGGAAGGTGCTTGTAAGGGGACTCCATGGCCATGCAGGGCTGCCTGGCACTCTGTGCCCCACAACATACACCCAGCTGAGCTATCTTCCCCTGCCTGGCAGTTCTGACAGGCTCAGACACTGCTTCTCTTCGAAAAATGCAGCTGGAGGGTGGCCCCAGCTCTCCCTTTCCTGTCACAGCCTCAGGTGACACGGGTGTGAGCAAGGACACACAGGAATCGTGGCTCTGAGCAGATACTGGGGAGGAGGAGAGAGCCTCCACCTTCCCAGGAAAAACATGCCCCGAGGGAGATGGTTCCTGTAAAGGCCGGACTTCAAGTGTCACCGTGGCGCTTGGCACTCACTTTCCCCCATCCTTCCCCGTACACTACCTGAGGTATCAGGTTCTTGTGGATCCTCTTCAGCTTGGCGCGCTTCCTCCCGTTCTTGGTGACGATTGTCTCCTCGTAGAACTCGTGAGCAAGGTCCCCGTCCTCATCATAATACATGGAGCTGCCGAGAGGAGAGGGGAGGCGCTGGATGAGAGCCTGCCGGGCGGGCCGGGGGCAGGGGCCGGGGCCGGTCCCGCTCCCCGGGGAGCTGCAGCCATCACCCGCTGCCGGCGGCTCCTCCCGCCCCCGTGCCGTGCCTGGCTGGGGCCGGCCGGCAGCAGAGCCCCCCGCCCGTGGCCGCCGAGCCGCCCCCCGCGCCCGCGCCTCACCCGCGCCGAGTGAACACGAAGGGGGTGGCGGCGCGCGCGGCCCGCGCCCGGGCCAGGGCCTGCTGCCCGCCGGGGCCCTCGGGGCCGCCGCCGCCCGCCGCCGGCGTGGCGAAGGGCCACAGCCCCCGCGACTTGGAGCCGCTGGCGCCCATGGCGGGGGCGGCGGCGGCAGGAGCGGGGCCGGGGGGGAAGGGACGGGGGCGGCCCGGAGCCGCCCGGCGACACCGACCGAGCGCCGCCCGCGCCACTTCCGGCGCCCGCACCACGTGACACCGGCGCGGGCGCGCCCTCCTCCCCGCCCGCCGCCGGCAGCGAGGGAGCCGCGGGTTCGAGTCCCGCTGCCGCCACCTCGCGCCACGTGCGGGCACCTACGGCCCGCCGACACCGGGGCATTACACATCCCGCCCCTTCCCAACCAGCCCGCCCCGCCAAAGACAACACCGCAGGCCAGGCCTCGTCACCAAGATGCCTTTATTGGTGCTCAATGCCCTGCTTCTTCCCAGGGACACTCACTTCTCCGGGGACACTCGCTCCCCCCATATCAGCCACTCCCCTGGGGATACCTAATCCCCCAGGTAACATTTGCTTCCCGCAAGACACACGCTCCCTTCGGGACACCCACTCCCCTGGGGACACGCAATCCCCCAGGTGACATACGCTCTCTTGGGGACATGCAATCCCCCAGGGTACACTCGTTCCCCCCAGGACACACGCTCCCTGGGGACACCCACTCCCGGGTGACACTCGCTCTCGCTCCCACCAGGAACCCTCACTCTCTGGGCCAGCCCCATGGGGGCTGTGACAGCCCGGTGGGCCCGTGGTGCCCCGTTCCACCCCCCCTCCCTGCCGCCCCCACCGCCGGTGGGCGAGGATCCTGGTGCACTGGCTGGCCTCGGCTGCGATCCCCGCGGTCACCCCGGCGTGAGCGCGGCCAGCGCCTCCTGCATCTTCTGGCGGCAGCGCGCGTAGCGGTGCCGCAGCCGCCGCACGTGCTCCTCCTCCTCCCGCTGCAGGATCAGCAGGAAGTTGTGCAGCTCCGGCAGCGTGAAGGCGTCCCACTGCAGGCACAAGGGCTGCCATCGCGACGGGAACCTGCATGGTCACCCATGGCCACCGCCCCGGGCAATGAGGGTGCCAGCCCCCTCCCCGTCCCCGCACTTACGTTCACCTCTCCGGTCTCGTTCTCCTTCAGGATGAAGCTCAGCACCTTCTCGCTAGGGCCAGCCAGCAGCCGCAGCCGCAGGGGCTGCTCCTCGTCACCCAGCTTCCGCAGATACACTGCAATGGGGCTGCGTGTCACCGCGGGGACACTGCCACTACGGGGACATCACTGCTGCTACAGAGATGCTGCTGCTATGGGGACATCATCACCACAGGGCACACCACTGCTGGGACACTGTCACCACTGCTACAGGGATGCTGTCACCAAGGGGATGCTGCTACCTAAGGAAAGCTGTCACTGTTGGGGCACCACTGCCGTAATATTGCTACCATGGGGGACACCACCACTATGGGGACACCACTGCCATGGACAGGCTGCCGCCACCATGAGGGATCCTGGGGACATCACCACCATGAACTGGCACCACCCAGGGGAAATTGCCTGTATGGGGACATGGCAACCACTTTGCAGACAGTGTGATGCTGGGCACTACCTTGCTCATCCTTCTCAGACCTCTCGAAGAGGGCAAACTTGCGGGGGTTGTCGATGACGGTGAACTTGCGGAGGAGGGCATCAATGACCTCGCTGGCACGGGTGTGTGAGAAGATGTGCAGGTGTTTGACGGTCCCCTTGGGCAGGTAGAAGGACGTGCGGCGCTTCACCCCCTGGGGGTGTGGCCGCCCCGCCTGCAGGGACGGGCCCCGCTTGGTGGATGGCACCGAGACAGGACGAACCAGCTTCAGCTGCACCTTGATGAAGCCGGTGTAGGAGCCATCCTTGTTCTACAAGACACCGGTGAGGGGTGAGTGGGGTCAGGGCAGGGCACCGTGACCCACCCCGGCCCTATGCCGACCCCGTACCAGGCTCATGAAGAGGTTGCTGTTGATTTGGCTGTTGTACTCCTTGATCCGCTGCTCCACCTGCGCCTGGTCCAGCTCTGTCTTCTCCCACTCGCTGGGCTCATCCTGCAGGACAGCAGCCGGGCTGAGCGGCGCAGAGACCGGGGGGTACAGTCCCGCCTGCCTCGGTGTCGCGCCGGCCCCCAGCCCACCCCGAAGCCCCGGGTTGCACGGGGTTGCATCAGCCCGGCCGGCGCTGAGCTGGGCTGTGCCGGGGACGCACAGCTGAGCTCACCGCGGCCCCAGCCCTGCTCCGGGGACACCGGCACCGACCGCCCCCGAGACGCCCGTCCCCCGGGCTGCAGGGCCGTGCGATCGCGCTGCCGGCACCCCAGATCGGAGCCGCGCGTCCGCTGCCGGCACCCCAGATCTGAGAGGCGTCCCCAAGGCAGAGCGCCGGCAGCCGCCAGCCCGGCACCAGGGCGTCTGGGCAGGCTCCGAGCCCGCGGGGCCGCCCTGAGATTGGAGGCAGGAGGGCCGGGCTGGGGGTGCAGCCCGCCCTGGCCGCCGGCACCCCACTTCAAAGTGCTGGCCCCGCACACGGGGCACCGAGCGTCCTGGCTCGGCGTCGCTGCCACCGGCACCCGCTAATGAGTATTGACGCGGGGCCGCGGAGCTGCCACACAGCGCTGCACATGTCCCCACGGCACTGAGGGGTCCCCAGTCCCGACAGCCGCCCCACAGCATGCAGGCACTGCAGGACCCTGCCGGGGGCCCTGCAGGATGGGGACAGCTGTGAAGCTGCTCGGGGAGTTTGTCCCGGCACCCCCAAAACTGGGAGCAGCTCCAGCCCTGAGGGGACCTTGGCATGCCCATGCCAGGCAGCGAAACTCCACTCGCCCCACATCCAACCGGACAGGGCCACCGTGTCCCCCGGCACGGCCATGCTCGACCCCACTCCTGCCCCACAGCAGGGCCAAGCTCACCTCTAAGAAAAGACCACCGACACCTCTAGTTTCCCCACGCACCAAGCCCACCCTCGACTGCTCCCCAGCACCCAGCCGGGGGAATGTGCTCCCAATGACGTCACCCGTGTCCCCCATTACGTCACGGCCCGGGACCGACCTGGCGGCGGCGCGGGCGGCGGCCGAGGGAGGTGCGGGCGGTGTAGAAGAGCTCGGGCTCGGAGTCGGAGTCCTCCTGGCTGCAGTAGCCGCTGCTGGCCGTGCTGCCCCCCGTGCCCCCCGCGCCGCCCCGCCGCAGAGCCAACGCCGCCGCCCCGCAGCCCCCGGGCCCGCCGGCCCCCGGCCCGGCCACGGGCACGGCGGCGGTGGCGGTGGGCACGGCCCGGCCCGGCCGCCCCGCGGCCCCGCCGGGGCGGCGAGCACACGGGCACGCCCGGCCTCGCGCCAGCCCGACCGACCCCCGGGCCGGGGCCCGGCTCGCTCCGCTCCCGGCTCGGCTCAGCCCGCTCCCGGTCCTTGGCCCGGCTCCGCTCAGCCCGGCCCTTGGCCCCGCTCGGCTCCGCTCGGTCCCTATGGCGTCTCGGCTCCGCCCGGTCGCACTCTCAGTCCCGGCTCAGCTTCGCCCGGTCCCTATCACCGTCCCGCTCGGCTCCGCCCGGCGTCTATCGCGGTCCCGTCCTCGGCTCGGCTCAGACCGGTCCCTATCGCGCTCCTGTCCCGGCTCGGTTCGGCGCGGCGTCTACCGCGCCCTGCCCGCTCCCGGCTCAGCGCGGTCCCCCCCGCCCCGCCCCGGCCGCGGGGTGACGCGGGCCGGGGGCGGCGCGGCGGCCCCGCTTCCGGCGGTGACTTCACCCGCGCCCGCCCGGACACGGCTGAGTCCCGGCTGCGCTCGGCTCGGCTCGGGCACGGTGTGGTGCGGGCAGCGCGGCACGGGCAGGACACAGCACAGCCTGGCTTGGCACAGCATAGCCCGACATGGCACAACATGGCATGGCACGACCTTACTCAGCCCAGACCAGCCCAGCGCAGTGCAGTCCATCAAGGCTTGGCACAGCCCAACGTGGCACAGCATAGCCTGGCATGGTGCAGCCTGGCATGGAACAGCCTGGCATGCTAGCTGCACTCAGCTCAGCTAAGCCCAGCCAAGCCCAGCTCAGCAAGGCTTGGCACAGCCTGGCATGGCACAGCCTGGCATTCCATGCCATGGCCTCACATGGCACAGCCCAGCTCAGCCCCCCCGAGCCCAGCGTAGCCCCCAGTTTGCCACTCCCTGCGCAAGCTCTCCCTCACAGACAGGCACAGGCCTTACCACGTTGGTGTCCTTCTCCAGCACCTGCTCATTGCCATCGTCCTCATCACCAGCCCCTGGGGGGCCACCGCAGTCCAGCTGCACCAGGGCCCGGCACCGGTAGTGGCAGGTGAAGCTGCAGTCTGGGGACAGAGACAGAAGCAGGGTCACCACTGTGCACAGCCTGGGGGTCAGGGCACTGGCTGGGACAAGGGCTGGCACACGGTGACAGCATCAGCTGTCTGCTCATGCTGTGCCCAGGGGCTCAGGGAGATAGCACTGTGCCATGTCTTGGCCAGGGCTGCTGTGCTCCCTGCTGTGCTGGCCAGCATGGTGTGCTCAGTGCCTGGTACTGGGCTGCCCAGTGTGGGTGTCTAGTGCTGGGATTCCCAGTGGCCAGTGTGGGTACCCCATGCTGGAATACCTGGTACCTGGTGCAGGTACCCAGTACAGGGATGCATGGTGCCGTGTGAGGGTATTCTGTATGGGGCTGCCAGTGCCTGGTGTGGGTGCCCGATCCAGGGGTGTCCAGTGTTTGGTGGCAACTCCTGGTGCCCAGAAGCCCAGTGCCTGCTGCAGCTGCCCAGAATGGTGATGCCCAACTTAATGGAAATGCCTGGCACCAGGATGCCTGGTGGGGGTAACTATTATTGAGGTGCCCTGTGCTGGGATGTTTGGTGCCTGGTGCGGGATGCCTGTGCCCAGTGGTGGGGCAGCCGGTGCACAGTGAGGGGGCCCACTACCAGAGGGTGGGGGCCCGTGGGGGTGCCCGATGCCCCACCCGCTGGTGGTGGGAGTGTCCGGTGGCAGCATGTCCGGTGCTGGGAAACTCATGCCCACCAGTGGGACAGCCGGTGCTCAGCGGGGCTGCCTACTACCAGGATGCTCGGTGTCCTGT